AAAAAACAACATTTCTTATTTTCTCCCATGTTTAAAATATATTATTCATATTAAATAATGTTTCATAGCTAAATATTTGATGTTAAATGAAAGCACTGTTTCCCCTGAATAAAATGATATGTAATAAGTGTGGGTGCACTTAATATGAAAGAGGTGAATTACTGTTGAACAGACATATAGTCAAATTCCATGTTTTGTTTATGTTTTGTTTTGATCACAACGTGTACATTTGGCTCAGTCCTTAAGACCAAATTATCTTGGGTGCACAGATGATGCCCCTGAAGCTATACCTTGGAAATAGTGCAGTATTTTAATCTACGTATCCCCAACTTTAAGCAAACTTGGCCTGCAGTGATGACTTTTTATGGACTATTTTTTTGCTTTTACATATAAATGCATTTCTTTCCATTAGACATATTACACATAAGGTATGTAAAGGTGGTAAAATCCATCCTCAATTGTCACAAAATATGATATTAAAAAAACAAAAAACTTGTAAATAATACAGTAGTCTTGAAATGAACTTAACACTGTCACATAAACCTATCACAAACCTGCCAGAAGTATTTTTCCACGAATCCATCCAGTCACATAAAAACGATTATTAGGTTTTTTTTTGTTTTATAAACCAGTTTTTATTACAGTTTTTCATTATAAAGGTTCATTTGAGTCACAACAATTGCCTGAGGTTCAGATAGAGCATGGCAGCATTAACAAAGGTTTAAAAGGAAAAGGTATCTGTTATCAGGGCTTAAACATGTCGGGAGTAGTGAAGATGTCCAGTTGAGTCCGCAGAAATCTCATATATAAAATATGACCAAGTACAATACCACTGATTGAGATTGCAAACCTCTAAGACCATCTTCTTAAATTCTTTTACATTAAATAAATTGGCCATTTTCCAAAGTTTTGCCCGAGGCAGTGGAAACTACAGTTATTATGTAATTGACTTGATTAATTCTTAGATGCTTACAGGGCTGGAAAGAATGCATGTTGTACAATATTTAAGTTACCGGTATCTAGTGATTGTTTTATATAATTTAGCCACAAAGTTATTATAAATATGTAAATTAATACTGTAGCATTGAAATGAATTTTACAAAGTCACATTAACCTGCGTTTGATTTAGCCCTCCAGCTCAATGTTATTTGTATAAAATGTATGAAAGAAAACACATTTTCTACACCCAAATATATTACATTTTGTTAGTTTTGCACTGCCCCACAGTGCAAAACAACCCACAGCTTAGAAAAAAGGGTCTACATTTCCCCTCCCACTAAATGCTTTGGGGTCAGCAAGGGGGCCATACATCTTTATCTCCTGGGACTTGCTTGTTGAGATAAGGGGAGGCATGATTGTAGTTCTAATATGTATCTCTCATCAACATGCTAGCAGAGAAGGTTGGGGAGGTGGGGGGGTTGCCAGTATGGAATGAATTCAAAAGAGGTTGTGCATCTCAATCTCGAATTTCACCCAGTATAAGGCAAATCATATCTTTGTACAGTAGCTCACTTACAGTAACAATAAAACTGTAAAAGGCTGATACACTATGGCTTTATTTCAATTTATTTTAAGGTATATTTAATTTGATTCTGCATATAAATATGACAGAGAGATGGAATTCTTCTGTTAGTTGTAAAGTATATAATTCACGTTCCTAGTTTGTGATTTGTGAAATGTTATATATAGTTTGCCTTCTGAGCCTTATTGAAGCATCAGGATTACATTGTTTAACAGAGATATTTTATGGAATTTAAGTAAAAAGTCTGAGAGTTTTACATCATACACCAGATATGTTTCATACACATCTATTTCTAAAAGCTAGAATTTAAATATTTTGAATGATAGCACTGCTGCTTTTACTGGTGGTTACTGAAACCTAAAGACCAGCACATTCTTAAAAGAACCTTATAGCGTTAGGCATACAAACCTGTACAAAATATAGAGGTGAATGGAGCTATAGTTCCGTTCACCTCTATATTTAGATTCATACTCTTCCCCCCCAAACTCTAAATAGAAATTTGAAAAAAGGTTTTATTCAAGTGTTTTACCCGTGCTATGATCGAGTCCCTGCAGCTTCTTTATCTGCCTCCGAAGATCATCAAGCTAACGCTTCTAAATGTCCAATCTAATACTCTGATTGTTTGAAGGGCTGCGTTTCTATTGTAGGTAAACTGGGAGAACAGAATTTGACTCTGTGCTTACAGCGGAAGCACCTCTAGTGGCTGTCAGGAAGATAGTATTATGTATTTAACCTTGAAATGTAAGCAATGCCATGTCTGTCAAATCCTTTATATTGCAGGGTTAAAACTAAAGGCCTACTGCACCCAGAGCACTTCCTTGACATGAGGTAGCCTGGGTGCTCCTTGATCCTGTAACTAGTAGCAGATTAAATGGATACTATAAATTCCAGGAATGCAAAGCTGGATTCCTGGCACTATTGCTCCCCCAACCTCCTTGGTAAATAAAGGGTTAAAAAAAACCTTTTTTACTTATCTGATCCCTGTGTCGATGTCCCTCGGTGCTGGGTCGAAGCTCCTCCTCCTCTGTCCTGCGCGCATTAGACCTTCCCATAGGAAAGCATTGAATCAATGCTTTCCTACGGGAAAAATCTGACGCTGGAGGTCCTCATGCAGATCGTGAGGATGTCCAGCATCAGATACGGCACCAAAGGTCCGTTTCAAACCAGGAAGCCCTCTAGTGGCTGTCTGGTAAGAACCAAAACCACTGTATTTGTATTCTGGTGCAAAGAGACTGTCCCTGCATATTTAGCAAATCAAACAGTGTTTACATTGCTTCCTGAGGCCACCTCTAGTGTTCCTGCAATATTTGCAGAGTATGAAGACGCCGAATGCTTCCTATAGAAATGCATTGAGTCAATCTATCTTTACGGACTGGCGCAGTGTGGCATGGCCGTGCATGCGCATCAGCTGCCTAATGCTCCCTATGTGAAAGGATTAGCTGAAACCATCTGTAATGTTGATCTCAGCCAGTGCAGAAGTGCTAGCCACAACTAAATTGTAGATGCCCTTTCAATCTTTTTGTTTTAGTTGTTTTGGGGGGTGAGGGGCTGTAAATAGGAAAGTATTCTAACGTTAGGAATATGTTTGTTCATTTATTAGCTTGTTAGCAGCCATTAAAGAGATAGTCAAAGCATGTGAACAGTGTTTTTAAAATATATATTTTTTAATATTATTTGTTAGGGTTTACCCTAAGACTGTAAAGGCTCACCTTTTTCTTGAAAGATTCCCTGAAGTGCATTATATCCCTAAAAACGATTGTCAGTCATGTTGCTCCCATAGATTTCAATAGAAGAATTACTAAGTATTCATGTGTGTATGGCATGGGCTGTGCTTCACAAATCAGACAGATATGCTCTAATAGGAAGCTAAATGAACATCACTCTCAGCTAACTATTCACGAATAATAAGACTCACAACGTTCTGCGACTATTAATATGTGCTACCTTCGTCAGTTCCTTGAGAAAAGCATTAGGAAACTCTACATGCATGGAATACAATAACAATTTCTGTGTTTGGAATTTATGAAAAGGATTGAAAAGTTCTCCTAGCTATTCCGCAGCTGTATTCATATCAAGCATGTTACAAGCGGAATCTTCTTTATGTACTCATATAATACTGAGCCAAGCATGCCACCTCCTGGTGCTCAACAGACATACAACTTTCAATGACCTTGTTCACATGCAAATTATTTTTAATGGACTTACTGTAGATTTCCTTATTACATAGGAAATGGCTTGAAGAAAAAAGTGCATCTGTCATCAAAATATAACATGACAGCACTTAACAGGTTACTTGTAAGCTATCTATACTTGTTGCTGGAGATGACGGATTCATTTTGCAAATTGAATTCTTCTGTACCTCATTACAGGGTTGGTGTCTCTCATTCATAGGAGTGTCCACAGCAGTAAAACTCACTGTAATGTGCATTGTGTGTGTGTATCAGAGGTCCATGGCAATAAAACCCACAGTAAATGTGCATTGTGTGTGTATCAGAGGTCCACAACATTAAAACTCACAGTAATGTGCATTGTGTGTGAGTGTATCAGAGGTCCACTGCAATAAAACTGACAGTCATGTGCATTGTGTATGAGTGTATCAGAGGTCCACGGCAATAAAACTCACAGTAATGTGCATTTTGTGTGAGTGTATCAGAGGTCCACTGCAATAAAACTCACAGTAATGTGCATTGTGTGTGAGTGTATCAGAGGTCCACTGCAATAAAACTGACAGTCATGTGCATTGTGTATGAGTGTATCAGAGGTCCACGGCAATAAAACTCACAGTAATGTGCATTTTGTGTGAGTGTATCAGAGGTCCACTGCAATAAAACTCACAGTAATGTGCATTGTGTGTGAGTGTATCAGAGGTCCACTGCAATAAAACTGACAGTCATGTGCATTGTGTATGAGTGTATCAGCGGTCCACGGCAATAAAACTCACAGTAATGTGCAGTGTGTATAAGTGCATCACAAAGCTCCACAGCAATAAAACTCACTGTAATGTAGTGTGTGTGAATGTATCACAAAGCTCCACAGCAATAAAACTCATTGTAATGTACAGTGTGTATGAATGTATCACAGAGCTCCACAGCAATAAAACTCACACGATGCACATTACTGTGAGTTTTAATGCAGTGGACCTCTGATACACTCATACACAATGCACATGACTGAGTTTTATTGCCGTGGACCTCTGATACACTCACATACAATGCACATTACTGTGAGTTTTATTGCCATGGACCTCTGATACACACACACAATTCACATTACTGTGAGTTTTATTGCCGTGGACCTCTGATACACTGACACACAATGCACATGACTGTGAGTTTTATTGCCGTGGACCTCTGATACACACACACAATGCACATTACTTTGAGTTTTATTGCTGTGGATCTCTGATACACTCATACACAATGTACATTACTGTGATTTTTATTACCATGGACCTCTGATACACTCATACAGCTCTCTGATACACTCATACACAATGCACATTAATGTAAGTTCTATAGCTGTGGAGCTTTGTGATGCACTCATACACAATGCACGGCAATACAACTCACAGTAATGTGCATTGTGTGTGAGTGTATCAGAGGTCCACGGCAATAAAACTGCATTTAAACTCACAGTAATGTGCATTGTGTGTGAGTGTATCAGAGGTCCACGACATTAAAACCCACAGTAATGTGCATAGTGTGTGAGTGTATCAGAGGTCCACGGCAATAAAACTCACAGTCATGTGCATTGTGTATGAGTGTATCAGAGGTCCACGGCAATAAAACTCACAGTAATGTGCATTGTGTATGAGTGCATCAGAGGTCCACGGCAATAAAACTCACAGTAATGTGCATTGTGTATGAGTGCATCAGAGGTCCACGGCAATAAAACTCACAGTAATGTGCATTGTGTATGAGTGCATCAGAGGTCCACGGCAATAAAACTCACAGTAATGTGCATTGTGTATGAGTGCATCACAAAGCTCCACAGCTATAAATTACATTAATGTGCATTGTGTATGAGTGTATCAGAGAGCTCTATTCATAGAGTTTACATGAACAACTGGGAACTAACAGCCCTATAGAGAGGAAACTTAGTTCATGATTCAGCAAATGATTTTCAATACAGAGACATGTGTATAGAAAAATCATCGGAGGGTGGGGAAGTAGAAAATCTGAAAGATGAAAAAAAAAGTGTTGGGGAGATGGGTTTTTTGGATGCACTACAGATAAGGATATATAAAAAGTTGCAGTATGTAAAGAGTAGAGTAACCATTTTATACATAAGAAAATGGCACATGCTTTCAAAGGGGAAAGCGAACCAGACACATTTTATACACTGCCCCCTATGTGTCTGTGAATGTATGTGCTTCCTACTTCTACAGATTTCTAGGAATGGATATTTTTATCTCTAAATATTTGTAATAAAAGTTATTTTTTAATGTTTCACTTATATTTTATGTTTTTAATTTTACATATAAAATACCTTACAGCTACCTTGTCCCCTCTTACCTTTTAATTATCCTTGCAATATGATGTAGTAAGCCATATTGAGGTCAAACGTCAAGAAGCAAAAACGTAATTGACAAGTTGCCTCCTGCGGGACACTAAGATGTCCCACGGGAGTTAAGTATACTGTCAGCAATCCAAACTTAATTTATTATTTTTCCAGATCTAGGCAAAGAATAGAAAATTATGACAATAAACCCTAAAATGGGAATTAGCAAGCTAAGGTAATGTGGTATATGCGATTCGTGTAAGGATACAAAAAGAGTTAACTGCTAATGAAATTCCAGATTCCAAAGTGTTGTATTTGTGAAATATTTTTTAAGTTGTTTTTGTTGCCAGTGCAGTCAGGATTATTTATCTGAGAGCTCTCTGTACAGCATGCTCAACTACAATCAGCCCTATTACCAACTGAAGAGCAAATCAATACACACAAAGCTCACAATCTAACTCCTTCTGTCAAGATTTACAAAAATATAGTGTGAAAAAGTAACATATCTCTATTACACCTTATGATAGGTCTTCTTTCGGGCTAAGCAAATGATTTTCATGGAAGCAGGGAGTTAGGTAGCCATTAGTTGCAGGAAGCTAATGCTGCACATTTCAATCTCTATCAAGTAAAAAATAGAAGAAAAAAAATAGAATAAATTACATTGTGTAGCAAACTGCATCTCCTGCTGTCCTATGTAACAAAATGTGTTGCTAAGCTACATGCTGATAAAGAAGTTCATTAAAGGACATTTTAAACAAAGCTGCCAGAATTTAAAAACTAAGACACTGAATAGAGTAGCAGATAGCTAGATAGACACAGATAAACAACAAACACATGTGGTACATCTTTGAACACAGAATATCCACAGTGCCATAAACATTAAAGTGGACTCGATAGCTAAGAATAGGATTAGATTATAAAGTCATATTAACATTGAATCACAGGAAATGTTAACCACTAAATCTTTTTCCAGCGCACATGGTGGAAGGTCTCTCTGTGTATCCCCATGTTTTTGACAAATTGTCTGAGAAAAAAAAACAACAGAGCTCTTCAGACACCAAGAACCCACAGTTTTGCTACCACCTATATATTATGTAGGACCCTGTCTAATAAGAATCTTGTCATTTCCAACATAAAGAGATTCTTGCACAGCTTCTATCAAATAGAATTTAAAAAAAAACAAGGCAAAGATAAACTAAAATGAGATCAAAAGAAATTAATGAGAATTTTTGAGAAGTGTCTCTTTTTTAAGTGTAAAAGTGTGAAGATGTTAAAAAAAATAGAGTGCAATTGCAATATACTAAGCATCAGCACTTATATAAGAAAAGTGATAAAAAGGATTGCTCTAAAAATTCAGTTTAGAATAAGTTTATTAAGCTGCAATTTTCAGCTTGTATTTGCCATCATCTGTACCGTACAAGAACGTTGTCCTGACGTATTAAGTCAATTCAGGCATCTTTATTCAGTTTATACGAACACAAAGGCAAAAATGTGACTCAATGGATCATGCTCAGTGTTCGAAATACCATCATTACTTATACACCTCCCCCATTGTGTCATTTAAAAGGTTGCCAGAGGCCGCTCTAGCCATAATATGACTGGACCTGAGCTCCTGAAATACAGCTTTACACGTGGAATGAGACAATCAGTCATTGACAAAAATAACACACAAAATCCCTACTAGAAGTCATCGGTAAGGATTTGTGTGTAGCTGGGTATGTATTTGCTGTGAATGCAGTTCCAAACAAACTGCATAGGAAGAGTCACAAGCTAACAAAATCTCTAATTCAATGTAAAACTTGGAAACCTTAGTTCAATTAAAGGACCACTATAGTGCCAGGAAAACCAGTATGTTTGCCCCCACCCTCAGGGACCCCCTCCCGCCCGGCTCTGGAAAGGGGAAAAGGGGTTAAACTTACCTTTTTCCAGCGCTGGGCGGGGAGCTCTCCTCCTCCGATCCTCCTCCGTTCCTCCTCCTGGGCTGAATGCGCACACGCGGCAAAAGCTGCGCGCGCATTCAGCATAGGAAAGCATTCATAATGCTTTCCTATGGACGCTCGTGCTCTCACTGTGAAAATCACAGTGAGAAGCACGCATAGCGCCTCTAGTGGCTGTCAGAGACAGCCACTAGAGAAATAGGGGAAGGCTTAACCCATTCATAAACATAGCAGTTTCTGTGAAACTGCTATGTTTATGAAAAAATGGGTTAACCCTAGCTGGACCAGGCACCCAGACCACTTCATTAAGCTGAAGTGGTCTGGGTGCCTAGAGTGGTCCTTTAATATATAAGACCAAAGTAGGGGCCTTGCATGCACTAGATACAAATGTGTGTTTTAAAAGGCACAGCATGTTCTTTTCTTTTTAATGACATATGTGATATAATAGAAAAGAAGAAATAATGTTAATGAATTCACCCACAAGTGTTAAAAAGCCCCCTGAATAGCAGGTCAGAGAAAGGCAGCCACAACCAGGCTTCCGGAGTTTAAGCAGAATATCGGGATTGTTGTAGAAAAGTCCACTGCACTGCTTCACTTACCTCACAGCCACGGAAAAGGTCAGTTTAAAAATAACATACATTACTATTTGAATAGCGTCTATTTTGTCATGTAAGCATTTTAAGTAACAGAATAAAAAAATGTCTTAAGCAAAGCAGTCCTGTAAACTATGTAGTTCTCTATACAATGCTTTAACAGGTGTAAGAGACAAGTCACCTTGCTTGACAGTTGGTATGAGGTGTGTGTGCAAATATGGAGTGTTTCACCAAACGTAGCACTGGGCATTATGGCCAAACATTTCCCCTTTGATCTCGTCTGTACAAGGGACACTGTTCCCAATTCTTGTGGATTGTTCAGATGCAACTTTGCAAACCTAGGCCGTGCTGCATGTTCTTTTTAGAGAAAAGAGGATTTCTCTTGGCAACCCTTCTAAACAAACCATACTTGTTAAGTCATTTTATAATTGTTTTGTAATGAACTTGAACATTTAAAATGCTGAGGCCAGTAGAGTCTGAGATGTAACTCTTTGGTTTCTTGCAATTTCTCTGAGCAGTCATTGAGTGGACCATGAACTCCTCTGTAAACCAAAGTATTCTAAAGTCAAATGTGAAGCCATCGGTCCAACAGCTAAAGCTTGCCGGAAATTGGGTCATGGAACAGGACAATGATCTAAAGCACACCAGCAAATATATAACAGAATGGCCGAAAAAGAAAAGAATCAAAATGTTGCAAAGGCCCAGTCAAAGTCCAGACCTCAGCCCAACTGAAATGCTGTGGCATAAACAAATCTAATAGAGCTGTGTATAAACAAATGACCACAAACCTCAATGAACTGAAGCAACGTTGTAAAGAAGAGTGGGCCAAAATTCCTCCACAACGATGTGAGAGACTGATAAAGTTATACAGAAAATGATTACTGCACGTTATTGCTGCTAAAGGTGGTTCTACAAGCTTCTGAATCATAAGGTGTACTTAGGTGTACTTAGTTTTCACATGGCTTCTCCAAGTTGCCTCTATTTTTGTTAACTAAATCTTGACAGTGAAATATGTCATATGTTGCTGTTCATCTAAGGTTATTATTATTTTAGCCGCTTATTTTAAAAGCGGCTAAGGAACAGATGATTGTTATGGCCTGATATGTAAAACGATAGAATTCAAAGATAGAATTGTTTTTTTTCCATTACTGTATTTACTTTGTTTGAATTTCAAATAACTGTGGCCTTCATGAGATGTGACATGTCAACCTTAAAAGGATTTACCTGACTCCATGAAGGAATTTAAATCACATTCTGAATGGGAAAACATGAAAATATATTGGTAACTCAATGTTACACAACTATATGTTGAAGATTGTATGTATTTAATATTATACGCCTTTGTTCTAAATATTCTAAGGAGCACTGGACTCAGATAGCATCCAAGCTGTAATGGAATGGTTTACCATTGTTTAAGAGGTTGTAAAATAAACAGAAATAACACTGCTAATTGTAAAAGGAAAACAAGTTATTATATGTCAGGTGTACTATGTTCCCGAGCGGGAAAGCATTCTCTGCAACATGTCATTAATTGTCTTTGATAACAGGTCTGTTAATAATCTGTTTCCATGAGGATGTGCTACCTCTACGCTACGTGGAATGTTACTTTGATAAGGTACAGCCTGTTCTATAGGAGATAATGAACGCACAGTGTTTGCCTGTAAATACACTGTGCGATCATGG